CGACGCTAGCCGCCTTAGTCGACCCAAGGCCGTGCCTGTACACCGTGACCAAGTCATTGACACAAACTGATCCAAGGTGAAGACGATACAACAGAACAACTAGCTTGAAGAGGAGAAACAGTGATGTATTCATTTACGATCAACATACTGCCGGGAGTTAGTGAGATTGGTGCTCGACCGGTTTGCCATCGGACTCCATCTCCTTCTCTAGCAGCTCCACGGTATCAGGGTGCCCTGCCTCACGAGCTAGGTCGATCGCTAGTTTGCCTACACAGACGAGTGTGAGGGAATTATGTACATCGGCAACCACATGTGTTGGTGACAATATGGAAATTCTGAAAAAATTTCGGGAAATTCCCATTGATTCTTGTACTTTTATACACGTATTCGTATGTAAACTCCTATAATCAGTGAGGGGGCTCTTAAGCTCAGCTGAGGAAAGCGAACATATTTTACAACACTGATATAGTCTACACTCATCGTTCAAGCTTAACAACATGTACTACTACTACCATCATTATTCTTGATGGTATAGCTGGCCTCAGCACCGTTCTCACAAAGTAACCATACGATATCCTCGTAGCCACCCTTAGCTGCTAAGTGAAGAGCAGTATCGCCATTCTTATTGACGATATCGCGATCACAACCGGCCCACAGGAGCTGATTTCGATACAGTAGCAACTATAAGCTCTTTACCATCCATTGCTACCATGGAGACCATCATTCGAAGGTTGCCTCGGCAAGCAATGTGCAGAGACGTGTCACCATTGATGTCTTGAATGTCCAAGTCCGCACCACATTCGGCCATCATCGACGCTAAAGAGACAACACCAGTACAAACTCAGTACCCAAAACGGGAGGTATGGTATTACCACACGTCATTTGATTGTTAGCTACAGCGACGTGCATCGGAGTTCGGCCGAACTTATCCAACTTATTGAAGACCTCAGGGTCAGTAGCACTACGATGAGGAGAATAACAACCAATCAGCAACTCCTCCTTCCTTACGCATTCACTGTTGCCATGTCCCCTTTACGGGCGGCCTCATGGTACTCTGTAGTTGATGATGATGCTGCTGCTACCGTCGACATGATTATGATGATAAACACTTCTACTACAGCGACAGCCGCCACAGATAGAGACCACTTGCAATCTTACTAAGACTTGCTAGTTACTCAACTCGAGGCCGTTTGAGTATCGGTGGTGGACAATAGAGAGGCTGGGCATACACACATGACGAGCACACGAGGATTGGCACACTTCATATCGGCGACTACTTATTCTTGTGCTGCTGGGCGGCTTCTATTATAGCCATAACGTCAGGCAGCTAAGTGATACATCGTCATGGTCCTCGGTATGAACAGCAGTTGATATGACCTCATCTCCCTTTTTATAAGTATACCCAACATAGTCGAGATTTTTGTCCTTCTTTTGTCCGGAAGGCTTATAGCTGGGCAAGGGCACTTCGCTGAACTTGTCAAAGGCTCCTTACAAAACCACTCATCAATTTGCAGTATCACGCGAATGCTACTACTACTACTACTACTACTACTACTCCTACTACTATTACTACTACTACTACTACTACTACTACTACTACTACTACTACTACTACTACTACTACTACTACTACTAGTACTCCTACTACTATTACTACTACTACTACTACTACTACTACTACTACCACGGTCGGTGAGGGAGAAGGGATGAGGCTTTATGGGTGGTTCCATCTCATGGAGTCTATCCCAATCCAAACCGTTGAAGAACGGATGGCTGATGATAATGATGATGTATACTTATGATCATCAATGACTGTGGGGCTACGTCCTTATCTGCTTGTAGGTGAGTCTATGGTCCTTATCACAGAGGATCCTCTTAAGTAGGTCCTCCGCCTCGGGAGACATCTTCTTACCCGGATATGGTATGTGTAAGAATCTTTTAAAATTCATAACCTGTCGAAAAACACAGTCACCGCGATCAGCGGCTGAGGCATACCTTCTGCATTATCCTATCCGGCGAGTTATGAGAGTCCGAGAAGGGCACGCCGCCCATAAGGCACTCGTACTGACAAACACGTGGTGAGTCGATGCTAGTCGTGGAGGATCACCATGATAACCCCAACAGACCACAGGTCAGCAGCT